CGGCAAATAAAAGAATCTGCTATGTTCTCGAAAGATTAGACATAAAAAATGGATAAATGAAAAAAGTACGTGGAAAAGATAACTAAAATATTATTCAATTACAAATACTCACGGTAAACTAATCTGGCAGCCATGTTTGATGTTTATTACCGCTTTTCGAATTCAGTACACGAACACCCAGAATGCGCTGCTCCTCTATGCAACTTAGATACTAAATCGTTACAGCGCCAACACCGGTGGGTGGCCGACGGTCGTTGAATGGGGTAGGTCAAAAGGTCACCAGTTTGCCTTCTCCATGCTGTTTTCACGATGAAAATCGAGCGAACGTAGAATTTAAATTTTTGTTCGAGTTTACGTACAATATGCTAATATATTTGTTTATTTTCTGTGCATATACATTTCGTTCGTATTTAATTCTTTCTTTCGTGATTGGAAGACGATTATTAAAAATACAGCTGTAAATTGAAACCACTGTAGTTGCGTATCGTGAGCAATAAATGGCAACAAAGTCGGGCGACGATGAATTCAGGCGATTGACACATTGCCATGAATACACTTGATAACTGCTTGCAGACTTCCTGTGGTCATTGTTTATGTTTGGACTCTTGAAACAATAGCAAAATAAAGGGTTGGGCAACTACTCTTTTGTTTAGGCTTGGGAAGAACAATGCAAGCTTTTTACAAATAATTTCAGCTGGATGTAGTTGGTGGGCGGGTGTTGAGAGTTACTAGGCGGCCGTAAAACTTGATGGGCGGGCCGCCCACCTAAAACCCCTTGTGGAGACACTGGGTTCTCGTAGCAACTCAGCGCTCGGACCGGGCAGAGAAGCAATTCCTCCTGATCCTCTGGACTGACAATATTTGCCAGCCGGGGGATGACGATCGGTTGAGGATCGTGTCCTGGGATTTGGTTCTTGGCGAGAACCCGATTCGTGTCTTAGTACAACTTGATCGCCCATAAAAGCGGCACAACCGTCCGCAAAGGATAGTGCGCGCCTAGCTTTGACCGACGCCTACCTGAGGCGAGAGCCAGTAGGAAGACTATTTTCCACATCAAAAATTTGAGTGGTGCTGATTGGAGAGGCTCAAAAGGTAGTCTGCTTAGAGCAGACAACACAGCCGACGAGTCCCAGTTGGGCGGCTCCCTTGTATGGGGTCTTGGCGTCTGGAAAGCAGTAAATAGTCTCCTAAAAATAGGACACTCGGCTAGTCTTGTTCCTGTACGTTCTGAGTGGTGGGGGGCAAGACTGACCTGTAGCCAACGTTCGCTGCGTAGAACAAACCCACTTCGTAAAACAGGTGGACGATGGAGCCTGCTACCTAGCCAATAGAGGGATGGTATGGATCAATCTCCCTTCCGCTACACCAATCAGTG